ATGCTGTGTGGCGCGTATCGCGTGGACGGGTTTCACGTTCTCTGCACGTAATAAGCTCGGTTATTAAGCATCCTTTTTTGGGGATGCCCGGTGGCCGAGGGGAAGACGTGTAGTGGCGTGAAGCTAGGCGATTAGGTGCCGTACGCGAGCGCCGGTTCGAGTCACGCACGCAGTACGTATTTACTATAATTAGACATAGTCTTTACCTTGCCGTTTATTCGGTGTTATTTGCTTACTTTACTTCCTATGTCGACAGCAACTATGAGTTTAAAAATTATTTCTCAGTACTTATTCACTGTTAAAATGCTGTACCATTACTTTCACCATCCTACTACAGCCAGATCTGAAGGCCTTTGCCGCATTCTGGCCATGCTGTGTGGCGCGTATCGCGTGGACGGGTTTCACGTTCTCTGCACGTAATAAGCTCGGTTATTAAGCATCCTTTTTTGGGGATGCCCGGTGGCCGAGGGGAAGACGTGTAGTGGCGTGAAGCTAGGCGATTAGGTGCCGTACGCGAGCGCCGGTTCGAGTCACGCACGCAGTACGTATTTACTATAATTAGACATAGTCTTTACCTTGCCGTTTATTCGGTGTTATTTGCTTACTTCCCTGGAAAGAAAGTCTTTATCATCAAGGGTCAACTTCTCTTGAAAGGGACATTGCAGGTAATCATATATATGTGAACAAAGATTGAAAATAAAGACTGAACTAACTTACTGAGTAGCATCATATGGAGTCTTACAAACACAGTAGAGCTTTTCATCATTCTTCCTCTTCTTTGGTTTTGGTGAAGTAAACTCTTCAGTAACAACAGTAGTTTTCACAATACTAGGAGTAGCTGCAACAGAAGTGACAATTGCAGCAGCAGGAGCAGCAACAATAACAGCTGGAGGAGGAGCGGCAGCAACAGCAGTAAAACGACTTGAAGTGTCAGTCTTCTTTCTTTTCTTTGCTTTTTGTTCTTGTTTGATTTCCTCCTACAATAAATATTCAGATTGTGAGTAATACAGATACATAAACTCCATGAGCAGGGCTTCAAATTTGCAGAAATCAAGGTAAAATTCAAAATAGTTAAAAATTGCTGTAAACTGTTTGTATTTTGTATCAGTGAAAAGATGTGCAAGTTTGTAGAATTAATTTGTCAGCCCAAAAAAGATTATACAGCAAAAGTGTAATGAATGGCAAATTGACAGGCAGTTGTACAAATAACAGCAAAAACAAGTATGGAAAACACGTTTTCTTCAATTCTTTCAAGATAGGTGCACAGATCCAAAAAATGTGTATTGTATATAGAAATAGAGAGTGAGAGGATGATGACTTAGTCTCACCTGAACTTCAAATGTCAAGTTCTTTTCCAGTGATTCTCTTTTCCTCATGATCTCTTTTTTCAACAGTTCTTTTTGTTTGAACAGCATTCCACTCAGTTTATTGGCAGTAAGGCGGCTACGTTTTTCCTCTTTATTTTCCTGCTGTTTCTTTCTTTTCAGATTCTGTCGCTCTTCTTTATCAATCTTATCCAGTAGGCTCTTCATCACTTGATTGCAGATTGCCATTCTAAAATAGATAGGTATTAAAATTTGCAAAGGGTTTCATTCAGCCTACAGCAATTTCACAATAAAGTTATATTACAATACAAGGAATGTGTGATTTCTTTGATTCTACAGTAAAATCTAAGCTTGATGATACATCAAATATGCAAATAATTTTACTAAAATGTACTATAATCACTAGGTTGGTCTTGTAGTCTTATGACAACTGTATATTTCATTTACTTTGCAAGTTCTACCATTCCATACTGTTAGAGGACCAAGAGTGTGTAATCAAACAGACATCAGTTTGTTAAAGTTGAAAAATGGCACAAACTACAATATCACATTTGGAACATAATGTTATAACTTTGTATCCTATCTCACTGTCAGACATTCCATTATACACAGGTATATCCTGGCCACGTATTCACATCTAGTCATAATTATTTTATTTCAGACCAATTTTACACTTCCTAAAAAATTTTACGAAAATAATTTACTACACACTATAAGCAGTCATGATCAAAAAAATTGCCTGACTACCGTAAAAACTCGATTAATTCACGGTCTCTATTAGTTCGCGCACCCATTTTATTTTCGAACGCTAATTTTTAAAT